ATGCGTCATGAAGGAGGGCGACAAGCAGGCGACGATCCGGAATTTGACTCCTAGAGGACGGAAGTCTGTCGCTAAAATTATGTTCCGACGCCTGAAAAGCACGAAGTGTGGTGCAACAGGCATCACGTAATTTGTGCTATCGTCTTGACATCGCCAACGGAACCGTGCTTAAATTTTAATGCTCGAAGGTTAGGTGGGACGTGACGTTCGCATGGTGTGACGCATTATGCGCGGTGTTCTTTCGTTGAGGCCAGCTGACGCTTTTTTACATCGCCAAGCTGAGATCGAGATGAGGCGTAACTAGACAGCGGTCATAACCGTGAGACGTACAAGACGTACGTACGTACTTACACGACATGGTCTTTCTTTAAAGTGAAGAAAAAGGCGCTGAGCGCGGGGCAGCGCCGCTGCTTTGCGCCACATCGGGCGTGTTACGCTCGCCGCGCTTGAACCCAGCACTGCCACCTGGTGAGAGCGGCGACAAATGACGCGCGGGCATGCGCCGCCAGAGCGGCCTGTGCCCGCGGCGTCCGAGTGTAACGGCGCCGCTGCCTCAGGTGCTGGAGCTGCTGAACCGGCTACTGAGCCAGCTGGTGTCCCGACCGGCGGCGCCCGGCTCGCGCCGCCAGCGGCTGCAGCAGACGGCCGTCGCCATCGCCAAGCGCTACAAAGATCACGGCACCAGCGCTTCTCCCGAGGTACGCGCCGCCGCGGCGGTCTCTGTCTGCCCGGACGGGCGCTGAGCCTGCTCAGCGCACGGTGGTTGACTGACGACGGTGTGACGGCGAACGGTGGTGGCTCACTCTCATCCGGCGTTCACGCCAGCGCTCGGTGCGCGCCGAGGCACCCCCTTCGCAACCGCTTCACGCCCGCGCACGCGGTACGGAGTGCGCTGACCTGATGCAGACGCGGTGCAGAGTACGTGGTACAAGGCATGCTGGCTGGCTGCGCTGACCTCGGCGCGCTCCGTCCCGCAGGCGACCGGCACGCTCTACCTGCTGCTGGACCTGATGTCGTTCTTCGACCTGTACCACCTGGAGCGCGGCGACGAGGCGCTGGAGGTGCTACGCCGGCTGCGTCTGGTGGCGCTGAGCGGCGACGAGCTGGAGCGTCGGCTGGCCGAGTTCGACCGGCTCCAGGAGGAGGTGGGCGACTCCCGCGCGGTCCCCACGTGTCCCGCGTGGTACCCGTATGTCCCGCGCGGTACCCGTGTGTCCCGCGCGGTGCCTGTGTGTCCCGCGTGGTATCCGTGTGTCTCGCGCGGTACCTGTGTCCCGCGTAGTATCCGTGTGTCCCGCGCGGTGCCCGTGTGTTCCGCGTAGTACCCGTGTGTCCCGCGCGGTGCCTGTGTGTCCCGCGTGATATCCGTGTGTCCCGCGCGGTGCCTGTGTGTCCCGCGTAGTATCCGTGTGTCCCGCGCGGTACCTGTGTGTCCCGCGTGGTATCCGTGTGCCCGCGCGGTGCCCGTGTGTTCCGCGTAGGACCCGTGTGTCCCGGGCGGTACCCCATGTGTCCCGGCGGCCCCCACGCTCGCCCATCGCAAAGAAGGAAAGCCTGGCATTTGGGATGAGTTCAGTTGCACTCCTCAGTTGGCTCAGGAAAAGTGACGCATGTTGTGAAGCGTAACTGAAAGTTTCCAACTTAAGATATCAAAGTTTCACACAGCGTTGCCACTTCCTGGGCGGAACTCACCGTCGTTTGCGCGATGGCGAGTTGTTTGAGGTCTCTGGTGTGTGTGACGAGCACAACATGCGGTGTTCTCCAGGACGCCGGCCCTCCCGCTTGTGTGGCGGCGTTCACTTGTGTGACCGTTCCGCCTGACCCGTGTGTGAGCGTCTCCCGCCTGACCCGTGTGTGACCATCTCCGTCTGACCCCGCGCCTCCCGTGCCCCGCGGCCAGGTGCGCCGCTGCGTACCGGACGTCCTTCTGGCGGCCATGACGCTGCTGCACGGCGCCCAGCGTCAGCTCGGCCAGGTGCGGCCGATGGCGCGCGCTCTCGTCACGTTCGCCGGCAGCCTGCCTTACCGGCTGCCTGGCGACACGCACGCTCGGCTCGTGCAGATGGAGGTGCTCATGACCTGACGGCCGGGCAGGCCGCGCAGGGCCGGCTGGGCGGGTCGTCATGTTGGCGCCCGCCGTGTCCACCGTACCGTTTTTTGTCTGGAATACACGGCGGGCCTTGCTGGACGGCTGTGACGCGCGCGGTGACCCGAGAGTCATGCCCGGATACGAGTGGCCTGGATTGACTGTTTGGACTGGTCGCGGGAAAGGAACATGCGGTGCGGGTTTTGGGGTGTTCTGACTTGTTCGATAGCGTCAGCATGTGTGCGGGAATCAATTTATCTGGCGTTGCAGGCGTTGAAGCCCTGACGTCAATGGGAAACCACAATGGCGAAGATCAGTGTGTGAGGTAGGAAATAGTACACTTTCACTGAATGCTTCCACCGACCCCCCTTTGCCAATTCGCAGATTTAGAGGTGGGCGAGAGTAGCAATTGTTGGGGCGCGTTATGATTCTAACGTTGCTGGTAATCGCAGGTAAACTAGACAGACAGAGCAATCGAAGAGAGCCGCGAATACTTACTGCACGTGCGGGTCAGGTCACGTGCGGGTCATTCTACACGTACACATTGCAATATATTATATATTATATATATATATATATATATATATATATACATATATTTATATCTATATATATATGATATATATATATGTATATATATATATATATATATATATATATATATATTTATAGCATCTCCATAACTAAAAGTGGTGAGATCAGGACGACGTGCTGCCAATAACAGCAGCCCCACCTTTTGATGTACCAAATTAGTGCTCCCGCAGAGTCAATCCCTTCTCCGTGCCGGTTACAGAGGTTACCCAATCTAATGAGCTCGGGGTTCTCACGCTAAGCTATCGACCTTCAATATGCCTGGAGACACTGCGTAGAGGGCGGTGTGGAAGGAGCATGAATAGCGTTGCCAATACTAGACGTTTAAATGTGTGTTAGTGATAACAAGTGATTACAGCTGATCTATCATGAACAAGCGTGATTAAACGTGATCTCTCGTAATTAAAACCACAGCTTTGAAGCTTAGTGTTCACAATACAACCCATGTTCTGTCTAGCGTCGTTAACCTAGGAACTAACTCCTGTTAACTGAAGACCTATAAGTCAGCATAACAACTGAATTCATAATGCCGACAACAACAGAAAATGGAGGCCTTTCGTGCTGATATCTAGTGTTTGGTAGTTTTGTTTGGTAGCGCATCCGGTACAATGGCGTGCAAACTTGCAGTTTTGAAATAGCTTACGTAGGGCGACAGCTGTGATCCCATCCTTCCACTGTCTGCACGTTTTCTTCTTCCACGAGGTCAAGGAAGTGTCATCCTGAAAACACTGGCAATTGACACTCCATGTTAGCGCGCAAAATTTGCCGCATTGTACGTTACGCTTTCCCCTCCCTCCCCCCCAACAAAATCAAACGCGAACGGTCTCTCACCCCACGACCATCTCAAAGACTGGGGCCCGTCATGAATTTCCAGAGTGTGCTCCTGACATCTGATTGTCATTTGGACGTAACGTAGCGACAACAAGGTGTGCTCAGCTTAAAGGGAGTGTTCAGTATTTGTATAAGGTTTGAACTGAGATAGGCCTAATATCATTTGGTGCAGCCCACATGCATACCCTTTTTAAGGCGTAACATCTTGTTTCTGGACTGAATATGAAATTACACCACTGAATGCAAGTAAACTATATGGGACCACTGACCAATGTGTAAGTACACCACAGAAGGGGTCAGAGCACGCGCACATAATAATATAAAGGTTTTGCAAACACGCCCAATTCGTACGTCACCTCTCGACGGGTTTAAGTACTACGAGTGAGTTAGCCTGTCCGCTACAGTGGCAATTCTGGCACGGCCACCTGGCAGCCACTTCGACGTCATAATATAAGCGCCCCATGATATAATAAAACGGTGACATATTGAGCGGATTATTTTTCTAAACAGTGAAATATTTTTGTCCAGAGCGGTCTTGCGCGCTTTAAAACCCTTCAATAGTTATAAATGAGCTTATTTAATCATATCTGATGATTGCCTTAATATCCTTAAATGAATGAAACATTTCCTTAAATCAGACAAAAGCGCAGCCCCTTTGGGATGTAGTACTCGCTTCATTTAGTTTGTTACTCCTCCACCCGGCGCACCCGGTGGGTTCAAATTCCTTCGACGTTGCCGATATGTCGGTGTGTTAATAAGCTGGACACATCTTTTCGATCACGCGGCTCATTCACACAGCCTCTCACCAGTTCCGATCCGAAAGTGTCATTTCAGACAAAGCCTGCTGCTCGCTGACTGCAGCAGGCATCGCATGTACGGAGATACTTGCCGGTGCGGGTCAAAATATAATACTCGTTGTCTAACCCGGTGTTGACCGGGGTATTCAGCCGCCGCAGGCTGCTTGAGCGTGGGGGGGGGGGGGGCGGGGGAGTCAATAACCTACTGGGAAGGCGACTCCTTAAAGCATCGCAGTCGCTGCAGTTGATGGAGCTTTGTTGTCATTAGGGCTTTACGACGCAGTCAGCTGCAGACGGTACATGGCGTCCGCCGCCGCTTACCCCGGCAGGAAGGGCGGACACCGCGAGGAATCGAACCCGCCTTGGGCGAATTTGGGCGAGAACTGTGCGGTCACGGGGGATCGCGGGCCGCCCTCGGCGCCCGCCACGAGTTGGGGCGGGGCGTCGGGGGACTCGCGAGAGTCAGCACCCCTACCGCTCACCTTCGACTGGAAGCAGGGGAGCGCCGCGGCCCGGCGCTGCCACACCAGTCGTACCTCTAATAAACTATCCCGAAGTTAGAGCATCCTTTAACCGCCACGGCTCGGCGTTGTCCATGCCGCCGTGCTCTAATAACTGCCCCGAAGTGAGAGCATCTGTTTATCCAACAACGCCCCCTGGTTGACCTGTTTGATGTATTTCGCACGCGAACCAACAAGTTTGGTGTTGAATCACTCTGCCTGCCTGCGGGTCAGACATCAATCAACCCACACAACACAGCGGCTTTCCGTGGACGAACCCGCGAGCGAAAACAATACCCATCCACGCGCACGACCCGCCGTCAGCAGCCGAGCTGGCGAGCATTCGTGGGAGCGCGGCCGGGGGAAGCGGGACACCCTCAGCAGTAGGCGGCGTCCTGCGTGGACTCGACGATCCAGCGGTAGGAGTAGTGCAGCTGGTGGAAGACGCCCGGGATGACGGGGCCGCAGGCCGGGCCGCCGTTCACTATACCCGTCAGCCACCCAGCGGTCGCCGACGCGCAGGATCAGCGCCGAGCCGATTGTCGCCCTGGTCGGGCGCCCCGATGCGGCCCGGTTACTAGGCTTGCACCCGCGGCGTTGGATAGATCCGTAAGATCCGTGAGATCTCAAAGTTGGTCTGTAAGATCTCTGAACTCAAGGTAAGATTCTAAACTTGTTGGGTAGATCCGGAGGATCGAAAGATCTCGAACCTACGTAAGATCCGTAGGGTTTGAGAAACCAGTCCAGTCCAGCGTCGGTAATGTAAAACAATGGTGAAAAAATTAAAGGTGAAGCACAAGACACCACACAAATCCAATCAAATCGCCTAGATAATCGGTTTAGACTATGTCCTTTACACATACTGGTTGAGTGAGAGGCTTAAATAGATGCAATGCAGAGACGGATGCAGACAGTTGGGCGGTTTTCTGATGATTTATAGCGGATTCGCCCCTTTGTGTACCAGAACATCTGCCCAGATGTGTTCGAGGTGGCCGATAACTTCCCACCTGTTGGACCCTATGGAGCCCAAGCAGTGAGTCTTCCACCCTAGCCACCACAGAAGAGGACCACGGCCTGTGCAAGGTCCCCCCCCCCCCCCCCTGCTCACGTCCGCCACTTCTCGCTCACGTTGCATGAGTCGTAGATGAAGCCGCCATTTTTGACGCGCTGCGCGCGCGGTGGCCGACATTGTTCTGTTGGCGGCATCTCTCTGGACGAAGCCGAAGCCGAAGCGGAAGCCGCACATGTTGGTGTTGGGGAACATCCAGAGGCCGGGTAACATGGGTGAGCAAGCGGAGAAGAACGGCGTGATGATACGGTTCTCCTTAAGCACCAGACCCCTGAAACCGGCCTGTCGGGGGGGGGGGGGGCACTACGTGTCAGAGGAAGGTCCGAGGTCACAAATGGACAGGTCAGAGCAGGCAACGAGCTTAGTCAGGTGGCGCGGAGCAAAACCAGCAGGGGATTAACCGTTGGCGAGTGCAGCGCAGCTGCAGCAGTGGCGGGACTTTCCAAAAGACTGGGCACCAAAGGAGCTTTTTTCTTGTTGACATAATGTTGTTCATTCATCGCCATTCGCCTGATAGCATAATCCGATGCATGGGGTGGGGAGGGGTGGAGGGGCTGGCATTCCAAAAGTGTACGAAACATCACCGCTGCGGCGCACTGAACTATAAAGAATTCGGTGAACAACTGAAGCGAACTCGATAGAATCGCCACAACAAATGGCGCAGCCTGGGAGGGTGCTGCAGCAACACCAAACTGCACACCGACTCCCGCCACTCTTGTGGCAGCCTGTGTGACATATCTAACGCTCGTCGCGGGTTTGGGATCATTAGGGATGAAGTATACTGAGCACCTACTGCTGAAGCGAGCGCCATTCGCATCGCAGGTTTCTTGCCAGAAAGAGTATCTGGCAACTCTCGCCCTGGTGGCTAAATCTTAAGTGGCGTACCCTCGGAGAGAAAATGCTTTAGAATGGTTGATCCAGTCCGTGGCCATTAGAGCACCTTTTGAACCTGCGCCCTGAAAAACGACATGTGAATCTCAAGTGCATTAGGTTTTGCGTGAGATATAATTGGCGAGTCGATGACAGTACTTAATCCAAGTGCTTCTTTGGGTAACTTTAGCACTGGGTCTGGTCAGAGGAGGAATGCCTCAGAGCGGGTGTAACCGCGGCAACCTCAACGCAGCGCGTTCTGCTAGGGAGGGCACCTGAAAGGAGGCCCCCAGGTCGTGACCTTAGCGGAGAGTCCGCTCCTAGGGTGAGTACCTGGGAGGAAGTCCCCAACTCGCGACATCTCTGGAGTGCCTGCTCCTAGGAGGGTGAGTACCTGAGAGGAGGTGCCCCAGCCGGTTATGGTGTGCACGGAGAACCTCTGGTAGGGGGCGTCGCTCAGGCAGACGGGCCGTACCCTGGTGGTCAGTGGCACTGGCGGCTCGAAGCGCAGCACAGCAATGTTGTACTGGTCGAAATACTCCGAGTACAGTGGATGGACCTTCACCTGCCGGGAGCACCACCGATGAAAAATGTCAGTCGGGAGATGCTTGACGTCTGAGCTTGGTATACATCGTTACTCTGTACCCACCCTACACCAGATAAACCAATCATGGGGCGAGCAAAAAAATCCAACACCACGGATTCGAACGGTCCAACTCCAAGCGCTTTTCCCGACAACACCAAATATTCCTCGAGCCTCTCCATCCAGCGAGAAAACGTCCTGTTGTCCAGCAGCTATGCTGCATAATCTGACTGACTGACTGATCAGACTGATCTCTCCGCCCCTGGTCACCGTGCCACACCGCCTCCCAAGCCCACTCACCGTAGTCACGGTTCGGCGCAGGGCAGACGATTCCGGCGCGCCCAGGACGTGGCGCCCGAGCAGCACCCTGGCTGCCGCTTCCGGCCTCGCCCGCGCACCACGCGGATGTTACCACGTACCGGTCATTGATGAGGGCGGCGCCGCAGAAGGGCACCCCTTGGCCGTAGCGGACGAGCGCAGCCTGCAACGGCGCTGCCGTCACACGCGCGTCATAAAGGGCACCAGATGACCGCGTTCGACCAGAGCTGTCTCGATCCGTGTTATGTCCGTCACGGCATCGTAAACGTCGCCAAAGTCTCACCGCTTGTGTCGCCTTTGGTAGCACCGCTCTCGCCACCTTTGGTACCACCACTGCCCCCGAGGTACATACAAGTTCCTAGCAAAAAAAGGATGCGGTCTGACATCCCTTGTAAATCGCTGCTAAAGAATGACGGACAAACTGTCTTACTAAGCCTGGTGATCTTTGTTTAGGGCGGCCGATTTTGATAACGCGGACTAATGGGGGTGGGGGAGGGTGTCGACGCGAACCCCTGACCTTCCCAGATCACTAGAGATAGAGCTAAGCGGAAGGCGCCAGTGGACTCGTCTCAATGAGATCTCGCAGCTTGAATTTGTATGTTGTTGGATAATTAGTTGACCACATTTTGTCAGGTCAAAGGCTTACATTTTCGGAAGAAATCCATTTTTCAGCTTCACATCATACATACAAGACCACGCCTTCTGGCGACAAAAGCGCTAGGCAGGTATGCTCCTTATTCAGCTCTGAGCACAATGATGTATACGTGTTTGTGTATTAAGCGCATGTTCATGACACATGGCCCCGTTAATGTAACAAGGCTGGCCCGCTGCACGCGTTCCACGGCGTCGTCAGTTACCACCTGCCGCCCTCGCCGGCCATAGATCGCTATGCACTGTTCCAAAAAAGCGTAGCTGCTCCGGAGCCAAAAAAGCTAGAACAATGTTTGTGGTGTCAGAACACGCGCAATGAGTGTTTCATAGGCTGCTGAAAATTTGCGCGCGGTGAGGCCAGAGAGGCATCGTCAAAAACGCTATGGAAGGGTCACATTAGCCTCCACTATCAGGCAGAGGGTTGCAAAAGCGAAATCAGCCAACGTCTTCGTAAGAGTGGTTAGAAAAATTTTTTAGGAGACCGACGTATTCTAGCAGGCATGTGGTTCTGAACTGCATAAAAAGCGAACAAACGGGCGCAACCTTTCGGTTGTTACAAGCCTATCATATTGTATGTCATCTTTCTTGCGCTTTTTTTTGGCCATTTCAAGTTGGTACCAAGCTAAATTCATGTTTCGTGCATAATGCTTGCGAGGAAATGGGTTTAATAAACAGTAGGGAATGGTTTTAAGTCTGAATAGGAATCCACCCTAGCAAATGTCATCAGAGAAAGCAGTTTCAACTCCTTGCGTTCAGGTCTCCATTGTAAGGGAGTCACAAATGTCCATTGAAAAGGCGGTACGCAAGATTCCTGCTGGTTGTGCGTGGACACTGGTGTGGAGTGACTGTTGACGAATGAGCGCTACTGGCAAAAAAAAAACAACTTTAAACTGTTAATGTACCCTTGCCTCTCTTGTGGGGACTGGGCTGAGCGAGGCACTCACTGGCAAAACTATCACGCAAGCTGTTAGAAATCTGCTACACAAATGCAGTACCTCAAGCTCCTTAACAAAATAGCTGCCATTGCTGTTTATGCGTTGCTGGGACAAGCACGACTTCAACGCCGAAACGGTAGAATAAAGGTTTCCTGAAGCACTCGGCGTTTAGCGCGTTTTATGCGTCCCCACCTGAAATCTTCCCTGCTTTTCATAAAATAAACCTACGACCCGAACAATCTTTTAGCGGCCAAGTTATCAGCGTGACTGATGTGACTTCCTAGATGCTCAATCTATCACACATCGGCAATATTTTGACGACTGTCATTGGAAAGAACATGGCCAGTTACGGAGACATGCAGAAAACTGGGAAATATAACTGCCCAAATGTAACTAGCTTAACGTTTATAACTAACTAAATATGATAGCATCTACGCCCCGTGACGTCACAGACGAGGGTACCGTGCCTGAACGCATCACTATCGTATGCTCGTCACTCATAGGGTCCACAAGAAGGCAAAAATGTGCCTGATTTTTGGAAGCGTCAAGACCAAACCCCCGCCCAAACAGAACAGCTCTAAACATTGAGATAAGGCAAGTTTTTCCGCATCTAATTCAGAGACAATTGGCGATCTCCGTCTTTTTGTAGCCTCTGGCTGTGACGTCACCGTCACACCCGGTGACCGAAATCTCGCCGCCGCGGGGGCTGCTGCTGTGACCTATGCACATCACCGCCCCAGGGATACTCGTGGGGACTGGCGTAAACTCCGCCCGGCCCTCCGCCGCCGCCGTCCGTAGCGCTGGAGAGTAGCCGCCAGCAGCTCGTACGTCTCTGGCGTTGCCCTGGTGGGGCGGCAGCCGCCGCTGCCGGCTCGGAGCGGCGGAACGCCACCCCACCCGGCGCAGCCAGCGCCGCAGGGGCGGCCAGTGGGAGGTCGCCGCCAAAGCGGCGCCAAGCTTGAGCGGGCGCGTCAAGCCGCCGCTAGGCGGCGCCAGCCTGCCCTCCGAGTCCGTCCCACCCGGTGCTCGCCGGTGTCGCTGCTGATGGCGTGGAGCTGTTTGACCTCTCCCGTGCCCGGTTGGCTTGTGGATGTTCGCCGGGGACAGCCACCCCGGCGCCCGTTTGTCCGTGTCCGGAGACGCCCCCGGTGCTGGTTGTCCGTGTCCGGAGACGGCCACCAGGTGCTGTTGTCCGTGTCCGGAGACGGCCCCCAGGTGCTGTTGTCCGTGTCCGGAGACGGCCACCAGGTGCTGTTGTCCGTGTTGATGATCTCTTGTGGCGGCGTGGCGACATTTGGGTCGAATATCTCTTCGTTCAGAGCGGCTGTCTGAGAAGCAAAGCTTTTGTCCTGTAACGTGCTGGGACGGGACGTCAACATCAAAACTGTCCGGTTTTTGCCGTGACTTTTATTCCAAAAGGTCACGGTTAAGTAATGAGTCAAAGACGGCAGCATTGTCCACAGCACCAGCATGTTGTAGTCAGGGCCATCGTCCAACCCCCTCATCATCTTTCTCTTGCTTTATCCTGAATCTTTCGCGTCGGCCACGAGTGGACCGAGAGGCCCCCTGGAGAGAGCCCCGACCGGAACCTCAGCGCACGCTCTGGGGGCCCCTGGAGAGGCCCCAACTGGACGCTCAGCGCATACTACGAGAGGCCCCCTGAAGAGAGCCCCCAACCGGACGCTCAGCGACACACTCCGAGGGGCCCCCTGAAGAGAGCCCCCGACCGGACGTTCAGCGCACACTCCGAGAGGCCCTCTTGAGAGGCCCCTGACCGGACGCTCAGCGCACACTCCGAGGGGCCTCTGCGCGGGTCTAGGTTCGCGGTTGGGCCCTCAAGCGCATGTAGTCCTGCCCCGCCGTTACCCATTCTCCTCCATTCCATGACCCAATGATCATGTCTGGTCGAACGGGCTCCAATTTAGACATCCCAACAACCAATCCTCGTCGTGTCCAGATAGTGACTCCGGGACACGCTCCCCATCCTTTGTTTTTAATTGATTGTCTGTAATGCCATGTTGACACTTAAAAGGAGTGTCCCACGTTTGCGACATATTGCAAAAACACACTCTAGTGGAATTTCATGAGTAGTTATGTCTGATAATGGCACTAGGTAGTGCAACTGTAGCACCGTCAAGGCAATACAAGGTTTTAGTTTTAATTTTATTTGCATTAAGGTTTTTCAATTCGAATTATCTTCATGTCCAAGGTACATTGTCAACGCTCTGCAACAACACTTCGTCTTTTCCTTGCAGTCGCGATCACCGTCTCCATGACAACCACCGTGTGCTCCTGGAGCGAATAAAAGAACATTTGTCATTGGCCCGGCGGCCTTCGCTCTGTTACCGAGAACTGGTTGAAGTTTGAAATGCGCCTCGAGAAGACCCACTGGGGTGAACGCCATAGAAAGCAGACCTTTAATGAGGGTATGAAACAAGGGAGAAATGAAAGGTCATAGTAAAACACTTCGTTGAAATCGCGGGGTAAATGCTTCCTGTTCGCATGTCTTTTTGTCTGAGAGAGTGTTTGAGTGTCTGAAACAGTGTTCCAAGGTTTCGTAGCATTTATTGCATAAACATTTTGACGCATTAATATGTTTCAAACATGACAGAACACACACGTTGGAAAAGGAAGGCAAATGAAACGCATTACTTTCGAAGTGGTGAGCAGGGAGTAAAATGAGATTTCTGCGGCAAAGGGTCGTCTGCTTGAAATCGCAATTGTGAGCTGTTCAGAAGAATTTCGAGGAAGCTGGTATTACTGTTCAAATCGTACGCACCTGACGTAAAAATATGTGAAAAGTACAGCAAAAAGGTGAGATACTCCCTTTAAGCTATTGGGACGGACTTGCAAAAACAAGCAGATTAAGAACATGCCATATCATCTGAAGTCGTGCAACAAATTTTGCGCGCATGACTTGCACGAAATTCGTCGCACATTCAGTTTTGACCAGACCTGAGTTATCTCTCACTGCAAAATTTTCTGTTTCCGTTCGCTACAATGTCATATAACATGCGTGAGTCGGCCCTAGCAAATTTCACGTGCTCCAGATTGGTGAGGCCCGAGGGCCTTCGCTTTATGAGCAATACACGAGTTGGGTATTGATCAATACACTTTCGCCAACTGTTTGAAAGCAGCGTTCCAATTTCATTCGCCTCTCACCGTCAGCGTTGCAAAGACAGCAGTGGCCAGTAGGCAGAAGTGGCCAAGGCCAGCCATTCTCTTCTCTTCAGCCAGTCCTCAGCGGACTCCCACTCCCATACCACTGTGAAGATGGACCTCGTCCACCCCAGGTCCGAGACCGCCCTGGCACGCACAAAAACCTGGACCAGGTCCTTTCCAAGTGGTCGGCGCACTTGTCGTGTCTCCACAACATGCCGCCTCAATTAACCCCAAGAAGACCGGTGAAGCGTATACGCTCCAGCCCCAGTCACGTTTACCATAGCTCAACCTGATACGCCGCTGGTGTGTAGGCGATGATTTACGTGGACCAGTTTTTAGTCCACCTAACGGCTTCGGAGGCATTAAACTTTCAGCCAGGGCAATGTACCGACTGCCTGGTAAATAGTCATATAATGTGTCACAAAACACGTGGATATATATATATATATATATATATACATATATATATATATTATATATATATATATATATATATATAATGCGCACTGACACTTATGCACAGAGTGAACATCGTTCAGCAGAGGCCGTCACTTTGCGTACAGGAAACATATCCTTATAGAGAAGGCAGTACTGCAAGCTGTACTTCTCAAATTCGTTTCGTGTCTGCCAATATATCGACAGCTCGACAGGGAATCAAATGTGGATTCGGCTGGCTGCAAGTTTGTGGTTCACGTGCACATTTGTTGGAAATATAACATTTGCCGTGTGTGACGGATTTTAACTTTTTCGGGCACATCTCGGCACTCCGTGCAGGTAGAGGAGTGAACAAGTTTCCGAACGTTGACAAAAGTACCTCCTACAATTTCATTACGCAACGCAAGTTTATGCGACGCACCGTCGTGCACACAAATTTTCGTAATATTTGTAAACGTTAGGCTTTCGAAAAACACCGCTGAATACCAGACGCGACCGTCAATAGTGCGTCAACGCACGACTTACGCGCAAAAATGTATTTACCAAGCAAGGATGTGCCAGTGCAATGGAACTACAATTGCGTAAACTATTCACAAAGGTTGATGGTATAGGAAGCATTTACCACAGTCCACGAGCCAGATGAAAGAAGCTTTTTCCCATCTACGGCAGAACGCACGCGGTCCGAAAAGTAGAGATCTGGTTCAACAGTGTCGGTGGACGGAAACCGCGCTGGGACGAGGAAAGGAGACGTTTGGAAAATAGCTAGTGGTGAAGCTGATGCTGTAGCGGCTGCTCCACCACCTTAGAGGTGCCAGGCAGGATGAACAGCGGACGAAAGTTGTGATGCCTAAAACAAACCCGAGTATGTCTTCTTAAGTATGTCCGTCGCCTTCTGAAAGTCATATGGATAGAATATTTTACTTTCATGAGTTTCGCTTGCAAAGGTATACTGATCCTTAGCGTCCACACGCCAGACACCATAATTTGAAATATCGACAGGCTTCCATGGTTTGCCAAGGCCTGGGAATTGTAATGGGGGGGGGGACGAAGTATACATATATATATATATATATATATATATATATATATATATATATATATATATATATATATATATATGTTGAAATATCGACAGGCTTCATGGTTTGCCAAGGCCTGGGCAATTGTAATTGGGGGGGGGGCGAAGTATACATATATATATATATATATATATATATATATATATATATATATATATATCGATATTACATGTACATATGTATTGGAAAGCATATTTTGGTACGGAGAAAACAAATGAGGCATGGGTAATTAAAGTAAGACAAAATTCTTTTTCACTTTGATGCATATCAAATACACTCATAATGGGAACACTATAAAGACACAAACATATTGCCAAAGTCACATCAGTAGTGCTCAGCGCCCACCATCTCATAGTTAAAGCGCTGTACAAGAATTTGTTTGTCTGTTTAGGGCCGGAGGGAGATTATTAATGAATATACTTTCCAAAATTTGAAGGCGTCGTCTGTCATTGCACGTCCGTAAAATGTCAGTGTTGTCTGTCAGTTGTTGTTGCGTTAATGTGATGTGTTCGTGTCGCATGTGGTCCAGAGGTGTCCTGTCACGTAAGCGCACTGTCAGGCGTCGTGAGAGTGTCGTTATGACCACACCAATGTAGTGTATAGAACGAAGTTTTCAGCCTTCGATGTTGCATTTGAATTGATACACTACATTAGTACATTTTAGTTTGTCGGGTTTGTATATAATGCTATGCATGAATCTCGAATGCCGGGTGTCACCACGAAATATACCACATTTTTTTGTCCCCAAGTCCTTCAACCGTAAATCAAATTAAAAAATATACTTTCAGCCAAAGCGTGATGCATGCAAATTCATCCTCATACAAAATTAAAATTGCAAACATCTGTCACGCTTGATGCTGACGGTGACACGTGTACCAAGTGTCCTCCTTTTCATTCAACACACGCGATGGCATGCCCCTGTGCCTCCTGGGCCACGTTAACACCCGTCTGACGTCATCCCGCGTGTACTTCATTTTACGGATTATTTGGTTTACGGAATATTTGTATTCTGAACACACGTATATGTATAAATGACAATATACCTTTTAAAATTTTGGACACCTCGCCAATTCTTATGTTTCAATACTCTGTGCTTTTGGTGACTGGTGAGGGTGTTGTGGAGGAAAAACCAGACATCATGGTATTGATCACGAATGACCGGGTTTCGGGCCTATGCAGTGTTCACGGCATGATCTACCTTGATTTAGCCCACAGCCTGTGTCTGAGGCCAGCCACGCAACAGGTGGCATTGGCGGCTTTCCGGTGCGTTACTGGCGCGTATCAAGTCGGATAATGTCGAATCACTGGGTGTTTTACTGATGATGATGATGATGTTTAGCCTGCGTCACACAGCTCGTGTCACGACTGTACACGCTCCGGTGACCAAGAATTGGCCTCAGCCCTTAGCAGTCCCAAACCCAGCGTAAACATGTCGTACTCATCACTGCGCGCGAGAAGCCACGCACTATGACTTGATGTTTGCCGGTATGGCCGTCTGCGCTCGCCGTCAGTGTTGCAATCTTAGCCCACTGTAGCAACCGGTCGCCGAGATTCAAACCTTTTACAACAGGTTATAACGGGCAAAAATGTTATTTGAACCTGTTATATGTTCCTGTGTCGACCCCGGGCCCCGTTTTTTCCCACCTTAACGCTTACCAAATGCCGAAAATAAGCTCAGACGGGACATTGGATAATGCTCATACCACAGACTGTAAGTGGCGGGAAAAAAATACTTCTGCTGTGCAGAGATGACAATTTCGTGAGATTGTGAACTTGAGCTCAGGACCCGTCCGACTTTCAATGTTTGGTCGTGTGTAACCTTGGGCAGCAGTCTTGACACAGCCGGAGGTAGCAAAAACAACAACTTAGTTCTTCTATCTTTTGTTCTTTATCATTACTGTCACCACTAGATAATGGTAGATGAAACGCCTTCAACAAGAATTGTCTCGATTTGTCCCGCACGAAAACATACACAATATTCTTGTTGTATTCAACAATGCGGATGCCTGGTATGGTTTACATGACATGCACATTGCACAGACACTATAGCAAGTTTCTGCTGAAACTTTGGGGACGGAGGAATCCGCTGATTTCAGCTAAATAGTTATTTACGACCATTCACACCAAAACAGTGAAAGGCTGGCGTATATCTCAGACACATAATCCTACTCATACGCCAATTTCTCAGTTTCAAGCTACGCACCACGCACGCGGTGTCCGACGCAGCGGACGCTGCATACACGCTCACTCCGTTAACATGCGAGTAACAGCCTCCATTTTGTTATCTTGGCGAGATAAACTCGCGAAGGACGGGGCTTAGCTCCATGGGCGTGAGCGCGCGCACCTCGAACACGGACCGTATGAACGCACATGCGCAGGAATGCTCGCTTTTCTGGGCACGGCCCGTGAACCCACACACTTCAAGCGGGGGGTTGTTATGACGTCATGCACATGTGAAACTGTCATGATCTGTATGCTCCTGAACAATCGTTTACAGGTCGTGAGTTAAAAGAGCGATATTTGTATCACTACTCCTAAAAACCCAGCCCGAGTGAACTGGCATTCCCTACACTCGGCTTTCACATTGTTCTACCTGCACAAAAACGTCTCACCGTTTACGAAACGCACAATAATTCACCTCATCACACGCCAGATGGCACCACCAGTCATCCGGAGTCGTTCTTAACGATTTACAGACAAAAACATGACAGCGCTCGCGGTCAACGCAGACCGTCGTAACTAACCGCATCACCTGCTAGATGGCAGCACATGCTGTGCTAAGCACAGTAGTCGGCTCGGCAGACGCTAGGTGGAACAGGCGACGCACAAAGCTGTTCTCGTCATCGCGGCAATGCGCTGTTGCGTACAACAGGGCATCATCACAGCGCATGACGGGCGGCACGGCGCTGGGGCAGCGATCAGCCCGGCACCACGCCGGGGACGTCCGGGAGCCATTGCTGTCCCGGGAGCCGCCGCTGCTCCGGGAGCCACTGCTGCCCCGGGAGCCGCTGCCGCTTCGGGGGCCACTGCTGCCCCGGGAACTGCCGCTGCCCCGGGAGCCGTTGCTGCCCCGGGAGCCGCCGCTGGCCCGGGGGCCGCCGCTGCCCCGGGAGCCGCTGCTGCCCCGGGAGCCGCTGATGCCCCTGGAGCCACCACTTGCTGCTGCACCTGGAACCTCCGCTGCCCCAGGAACCGCCGCTGCTTCGGGAACCGCCGCTGCCCCGGGAGCCGCTGCTGCCCTGGGAACCGCTGCTGCCCCCGGAGCCGCCACTTGCTACTGCCCCAGTGACCACCGCTGCTTCCGCCCCTGGAGTCACTGCTGCCCGGGGTGTCACTTGCCCACGCCGCTAGGGACGCTCCAAGGCTGCGGCGGCGCCGCCGGGCGCTGAGGTGACTGTGGATCACCGCCGGGGGCAGCGGGCAGCGGCGCGCTGCCCGGGCGGGCCACACGCACGGCGTGAGAAGCGGGGTTACGCACGAAGGAGAGCAGCAACACGCGGCACGAACCCGTCGGCAGCGGCAACGCCCCACAGCGTCAAAGGCCGGCTAGCTGCGAGCCAGCGTCAGTGTTTTCGTTTCACTTCCAACAGCTGGGGGTAGTTCTCCACAATGTTGAGCAGGATTCCGTCAATGTAAGCGCGCAGCTGCTGGTTCACCTCCTGCTGCTCCAGCAACGACTTCTTCAACTGAAACGTTGGAGACGTAGTTGAGTTGCGAACCGCGGAAGAGTGCATCTACCGGAAAACTACAAACACTGATGAGAGTACTACAATGTACTAGAGTACTACAATGCGCCTCTTGGTGGAGGCTTCTACACTGAATGACAGTGGGTACCGGGCAGTGTGCACTACTTTTTCAGCACCATACATTTTGGATAGTGCTGCTTCTTGAGTAGAAATGTCTCAGTACGGAAATCCGGACAAGGTTGATCAGATGACAATAAAATATTCAAATTATTCGACTTGGACCACATGAACATCCAGTTTAAATCATCAAACAGTTTTTTCCTTCTTCTCCGTGACATGCGCCAGCACCTCCGCGAAAAGCGAATGTAATGGAAGGAAAAGATCCTGGCACCCGAGCTCAAGTTCATGCCGTGATATTTCCCTGCACTTGGGACGTTGCGGGCCTACAGGAGCCATGGTCATATCAGCACGCATCGAAAAACGCATCCAGTGGCAGCACGTCGTGAATGACGCCCTTTGACAACAGAGGTCAGGAAAGCCCTGCTAAGGTGGTTTCCCACAGTTTCGACCCTTTGTTCTCTTAAGGATTCATCGTATGTTACCGTACAGCGGAAGGAAGGCTGAATAATTCTTGGCTGTGGTTATTGTAAAGCTGGTGAAAATATACACATTTTAACTATTCATAAATTCTGCAGAAACAGTGCAAGGTACCAAGTTGTTTCAACCGAGCATTTTCCGTGGAAAATGGCCCGCTAGTCAGACAACCATTCAAACTAAAAAGTCGTTTCAGTTAATAAAATCCTGCATATGTCTGCATAAGTTCCCGAAGCATGCCCTGAGCCGCTCCATGTGCAAAGCCTTCGCCAAAGCGCCAAACCCTTAGGCCTGAACCAAAAATCAAAGGAACAAAAAGAAACAGCAACAATACTCCGCATTCCTGAATCTAGACTCAGCGCATTCGTTGACCCCACACGACATCCAAAGAACACCACGCTCATGGTCCCTCCCGTCTGATGACGCGTCGGAGCCACACCAACAGGGGTCCGGCGGCATGCGAAGAGAGATGCGGGCAGAAGAGCAGCCATGCACCAATACCCACTGCCCTTCGCCCGGCGCATGTGAGCCCGTTAGTGAATTAGTGGCACACATAGCAGCTGTTAGTGGCTTCCAGCGACGAATGCGGCCGCCACCTCACCTTTTGTGAGTTCTCCGCACTGTCAACCTTAAAACAGAGGACACCGTTTATCATTCATGACGGCTAGTGGAGTTATCTAGTATTTATATGCTACGCCAAGTACGTGTGTGGCATACTGCATGACTGAAGTGGCAGGGAAAATTTCAGTGGCTTCACAGGGTCCCGATTCCTCCGCAGGCAAGATTTTATCCTGTCTTGTCTCAGTTCGGTCCCCGACCCTACACTCACTCACAAGCACATTCATTATCAAACCTAAGCAGGTCGATGTGGTCCGGGCTGTTTTACTCCTAATCACCAACCTCCATTCAGCATGCCTACTTGTTCTACTACCTCGCCCTTCGCACGCTCTAAGCCGTCGTCTACTTTCTCTCTTGACGTTCCTTCTCTACCCTCGTATCAGTATCGATTCTATCGACGTACACAGGAACAACCTTACTTTGCCTGCGCCAACCATCCGCCTCTGCGAGGTATCTCCTGTGTCTAATCGCCGGGGGGATGGGGGGAGGTACTGCGAGCCTGTACGTCACGTTGGGGCTTCGTCTGAGTCCGAGCACCCTGGCGCGTCTGTTACACCAGCAGCAGCAGAGCCCCGGCCCTCATCCCGGCACCAGCGGCGGCGCGGCCCGCGCCACCGCCGCTGGATGGCGCGACCGCGTACGGCCGCCGCCACCCGCGGATGTCCGACGGACAGGCCGATGCTGGGCACAGGGACGGGGACGGAGACGGGGCAGGGACGGGACAGTGGCGGGAACGGTGGCAGGGACAGGAACAGGAACAGGGACAGGGACAGGGACAGGGACAGGGACAGGGACAGGGACAGGGACAGGGACAGGGACAGGGACAGAGACAGAGACAGAGACAGCGATGGGGACAGGAACGGGTGACGGGGACAGGGACGGGGTCGGTGGCTGGAAAGGGGGACAAGGGACGGGCACAAGCACGGGCACGGGCACGGGAGCGGGCACGGGCACGGGCACGGGCAGGGACGGCTGGGCGCAGCGCGCGCGAGGTCAGCCAGACCTCCAGACAGCGCACTGCAGGAGACGGAACAGGACGGGAGCGCAGCAGGACAGAGGTACGTCACTGGGCAAGCCCTCTACGCACCTGGTCTCCCGACATGTCTCCCAGCTCGGCAGCCAGACTCTTGGTGCCCGAGTTCAGCAGCTGCATGCCCTCGTGCAGACCCGTGGTGAGTAGCTGAGCCTGCAGCTCCTCGTTCGACTCCTGCAGCTCTGGGGACGGACGGAGCCACGCGACGCTGGTGTCACAGGCGGCGCCGGTGTGGCAGTTCTAGCACGGCTAGGGGCACCAGGGACCAGGGGTGCAGTTTCATATTCAGTTAGGGAGATGGCCAAAGCCCCCCTCCCCAACACAGGCTACAGCCGCTCAACTTTGTGGAGATAGTGGGCTAGATCTGGGGAGAAATCTTTTTGTTGGCATATTCTGGGGGCAGTGTAGGTTATTTTTCACTGTTCAGGCCCTTTCCCAACCCAGGTTGTGAAACTACGCCCCTGTCAAGAAAAACACCTGGGTACCAGATCTCCAAGTTCATTGCAAGCATCCTTCTCAGGCACAGCAAACGTGCACGCTACATCTCATCTTATTACAAACATCCTTCTCATGCACAGTAAACGTATACACTACGTCTCAGCAACACGCTTTGTATCGATCTCCTCCGAGTAGGCCCATCGTTACATGACTCAGCCCACGTTGCTTTGCTACTTGCCAGCTATACGCTCCAAACGCACACGGACACGATACAGCTACGGTAAGCTTTGCAAATACCTCACAAAGTCTGTTGTTGCATAACCTGACGTCTGACCTTTGTCCTGTCGGACCTGGAGGCTCCACTTCGTTCTCCGGACAGAGCTGGCGTCTCACCTTTGTTCTCCTGCTGGAGCTCGCGACTCGCAATTATTCCTCGCCAAGGTGGCGCCTCAACTTTACTCTCCCGCCTAAGCTGACGCCTCACCTTTATGCTCATGTCAGAAATGATGCTTCACCTACGTTTCCCCGTCACATCTGGCGCCTCACCTTTGTTCTCCCGGACCTGGCACCTCACCTTTGTTCTCTTGTCGGAGCAGGTGCTTCACTCTTGTTCTCCTGCTGGAGCTGGCGCCTCACCTTTGTTCTCCTGCCGGAGCTGGCGCCACACCTTTGTTCTCCTGTTGGAGCTGGCGCCTCACCTTTGTTCTCCTGCCGGAGCTGGCGCAGCTCGGCCTCCAGTTCCGAGTGCTGCAGCCGGATCAGACCGGACTCGTCCGACTCCGTCTTGAGGCGCAGACTCGCCGTCCGCTGCGTCTCCTCCAGCTCGCGCGAGAGCTCGGCCATCATCTGATGGCGCCGGCAGAGCACAACGGTCAGCGGGGCACGAGAACACACTTACGTCATAGGAGATTTGCACGCCACCGAGTCACGCGAGCTCGGCTCAGCAGACATCCGTCCGGCTCCTGCCATCGTCACAACATACGCTGACGATCGTCTGACGTAGACATCTGAGATGTGTTTGGCAGACCACTTCCGCTTGAGCACATCCTGGCCTTCTTTCGACGTTCTCTTCTCTACATGCCGGAGTTTTTCTGGCACATCAAAATTTGAACAAAAAGGCTCTATTCATAGTCATGGTACCCTTCCCGTTAGTCCTATTCGCATCCTACGTGAGTATGGTATGCATTTCTCTCTCAGCTTTTGTTCATAGCCCCAAGATCATTTACACATACCGAGACCTGGACATTGGTTGCGGGACTTACGGGGTTTCGTACTTTGCACTACCTATTTCACCTTTATTCCAGTGGACACCCCTACAGCTCCTCAATGGGAGGGGGAGGGAAATGGCCACAGCGGCGGGAGCCACCCTACAGTGTGCCCCCCCCCCCCCCCCGAGCCTCCCGCTCCTGACCTGGGCCTGTGCGCTGCGCTGGCTCTCCAGCTCCGAGCAAGCCCGCCGCTCCAAGTCGACGGCCCGTCGCGTCTGCTCGCGCGCCTCGTCCAGCGCCGCCTGCAGCTCGACCAGCCGCTCGTCCAGCGCGGCACGCTCGTCGGCCGAGCCGCGCAGCTGCTGCCGACAGCGGTCCGCCTCCGCCTCGGCGAACCGCAGCTCTTTCTCCAGACTCAGAGACCTGAAGGAGCCGGGCGACGTCAGCCGAGAGTGGGAATCGAGCAGGGAAAGGGGTGTCAAAGAGCGAGGCCAGAAACAGACAGAGGTGGCAGGGAGCAGGGGATGGAAACAGACAGGGGTGACAGAGAGCGAGAGACAGACAGAAAGCGGGTGACAGACAGAGGCAGGGGTGACAGAGAGCGGGAGACGGACAGGGACAGGGAAGACAGAGAGCAGGGAACGGACAGAGGCATGGGTGGCAGGGAGCAGGGGACGGACAGGGACAGGGGTGACAGAGAGCGGGGAAAAGACAGGGACGGGATGGCAGAGAGTGAGGAACGGACAGGAGCAGGGGTGGCAGAAACCAGATGAAGGATAGGATGATTTCGCTAGCAGTCCGCTCAAGAAACGTGACATGTGAGCACCTGACCACCGATGTGCCGAGCAGCCTCAAAATTACGACCGTCTTTGGGACTGCTCTGATGTGTCGCGGAAGCCGGCTGTCATCAGAATGTTACGTGGCCGCACCAGGTGTGACACGCCCTGACCTGATCTGGTGGTTTTCCACTTCTAGCAGCTTCTCCCGTTCGAGCCGCTGCATCAGCTCCCTGTGGCGCCTCTTCTCTGAGTCCAGCTGCTCCTCAGCCCGCATCTCCGCGTCTCGCAGCTGAAATGGGCCGCGGGCCGGCGCCGGTCAGCCATCAGCTGATCCTCAGACGCGCCGGTCAGCCACCAGCCGACCCTCAGATGCGCCGGTCAGCTGCCAGCCAACCCTCAGACGCGCCGGTCAGCCACCGGTCGACGCTCAGACGCGCCGGTCAGCCGTCAGCCGATCCTCAGATGCACCGGTCAGCCGCCAGCCGATCCTCGGACGCGCCGATCAGCCACCAGCCGACCCTCAGACGCGCCGGTCAGCCACCGGTCGACGCTCAGACGCGGCGCACACGGCCCCTGACGGACCTCATCACACGCGTTCTCGTCTGACGTGGCGTCGTAGATCACCGCGTTCTCAGACACGCCACGAGGACGTGGGAAAATACGAGGACAGTAGGCACTGTCTGACATTACTTCTGAGCTCCGTATTCATCTAGCAAACCTGCTGAGCGATTGCAAATCGCACAGTAAACGAAAAAAATGATTGCTCATGAAAGTATTGACTAATTATTTAGTGCAACGAACATGCTAAACGAGAGCATGCTCTCGCAACGGCTTGACGTATGCTCGGAAGCCCGACCACAGGCCCGGAGCCCCGCCGGCCGGTGCCCTGCTTCAGACCCGGAGCCCCGCCGGCCGGTGCCCTGCTTCAGACCCGGAACCCCGCCGGCCGGTGCCCTGCTTCAGACCCGGAGCCCCGCCGTCCGGTGCCCTGCTTCAGACCCGGAGCCCTGCCGGCCGGTGCCCGACCTCAGACCCGGAGCCCCGCCGTCCGGTGCCCGACGTAAGACCCGAAGCCCCGCCGGCGTACCTGTTCCTCCATCATGATGAGCCGCGCCTGCAATGTGGCGTTCTCCTCCTTGCTCCTGGTATAGCGGTCGTCCGTGTTGTTCTGGTTCTCGGCCAGTACGGTGACCTGCCGTTCCAGCACCTGCACCTGCGACAGAAGACAAGGTAAGGCGAGGTCAGGCGGGCGGGGGAGGCAGGCGTCAGCTGACACAGGTGAAGGCTAGGTTAGAGGTTAGATGGCAGAACTCTTGGTTAGAGTAATGGTACATATTGCATAACGGGAAATGAGACATTCTATGTTCCTTTTGCTGCGAGTTGGGAGCTCGGAGATCCGCTTCGACGAATAATTGTCATAATACGTGGGATATGAAGCATTGCACACTTCCGGTGACAGACGGACACCTATGCAGACAATGTCCCAACGTTATCGTAGTTTTAGTTCGCATCACGACACTGTAATTAATCTCGGCACCGAATCGAAACATTCCTAGACGTTCGCAGGCAAGCACCAAGCTCACTCCTGAAAAAATATATTTACAGCAACACAGAATTCTCCACGAGAGGGCCGTGCATGGGCACAAAATCATGTCCGCTAAGCTGAGCCCCTGGAGGACACGCTACATCTGGAAGACACGCTGCGAGTCGTGTGTGCCAGGTGGCGCGACACGCTCCCAAAGCGTGATCTCCCGGTACTATTATCCGCACAAAATTTTTTGAACGCCTATGACGTCATAAATGACGTTCATAAACATCGACGAGCTGCCGTTACTTCGAAGCTATCGCCAACCTTGCCCCATACATGACGCTCAGGCCATTGGCGTTAACGCTACGACGTGTCCATCATGACGTCATGAGTCACACGTTGCCTAGCAACGGCCACTGTCGGGCAAGCCTCAGCTTGCCCGACATGTCATATCCGCCGGCCCGATAACTTCACGGGATCAATGGCGGCAAGAGTGTCCTGACCAGCGGCCCGGGGCGGCCTTCCTCGGCCACATCGAGCCGGCGAGGGGGTAAGGTTTGTCGGCCGGCCGCCGGTAGCCACACGCGGCACACGAGGCGGCGCGCTGCGCCGGTCTAGTCGCCCCATGACCAGGTCCTCGCCCGCGGGATGGGCTCCGGCAGGATTGAATACGTTCCGACCATGATCACCGCAGCATCCGAGCTGCACCCGAAACACGGTCAGCCCAAGCGAAATATTACGCATCTTGTAAGTAAACTGCATAATGCATTGCACACATCGAGACGTGACGTTAGATCTGCAGTCGATGTGCAGTTACTTCAATTCACACGGCGCCTCCAAATAGTTCTCGTTCGTTCGCCGGAGAGCGAGCGACAGTCGCGAGAGGTGGCGTGGGCGGAGAACCTCCCGCGCCTCCCACTCACTTTCTCGTGCGTGTCCAGGTACCACGAGTACAGGTCCGTCTCCCCGAACGCCGTGCCGCGAAAGCTGAACAGGCCCTCCCACCAGTCGTACTCGAGTTCCCCGCTGCCATCCGCCCTGACCTCCGGCGTCGACCTGGCCTCGGCGTCACCCGCCCGGCGACGCGGCTGCGGCGAGCGCGCGGAGCGCAGAAACTGGCGTAGCTGCGACGACACGACGCTGTTGTAGACGGGCACCTCCAGCAAGCCTTGGCCAGTGTCCTCCAGGTCCAGGTCGCAGAGTGACCTCAGGTCGCCGCTCGAGGAGACCAGCTCATCTTCCAGGCCGCTGTCGGCCACGTCGGCGGGGTCAGTGACCCGGATGGCCGGCTGGTCGGCCGTGAGCTGCGGCATCTTCTCAGACATTGGATCTCCACCGATGCCGTCTTCTCATTCCAACACCTGTGCACGGCGCCAGCTGTGACAAGGAAGTTGGGCAAAAGCGTGCGCCAGCTGCTTGACGTCGAGCTAAATATTCCGAGCCTAGATTTGTGAACACAGGATGCTGTTTGTGGAAGGATTCCTATGCAAGGCCGACCCTTAGCTTTGACCGTGACCTCCCCGTCCACAGCAGTTCTCCAGCCCGAGGGAGGGGTTGAGGGACACCCGCTGTGAATGTGGAAAGCGTGACCCGATTTCACGAGAACCCTTCCAAATCCCCTGCAGGGCAAGGTCCGACCCACCGCCGCGTAGCAAACAGCGAACGGAACTGCCGAGTTTCGCTCGCCGGGTGACCTCCTGCTGACCTTGGAAGTCGGACATCCATCCAGCCGCAACACTTCCGCAGACAGCAAGACAGCGGGCACCATGGACCGCGATTGACGTCTTTGGTTCGCACTGAGCACTGGCAGCAAGCCACCTGGTGCCCCACGCATCCTTGACGGAACGGCGACCGGTGACGTCAGATGGCTGTGTGGCAGCACGCAAACTGAGCGATGCCCCACAGGACGCATCAGTATGGACCTAATACGGCCACGACGCATGCATGCACCACACACCACAACTGAACACAATGAGCGTTTACAGAATAGCTTATCTGAGCCATCCTTCCCCTTGCGACACCCCCAAAAACGTCACTGGGTCTACCGGTGACGTCATATCCGTTGCAGGTCAGACCGTGACGGCGACAGACGCTCATTGTCTAGCTCATTCCAGCACCTGCCCAGTGCTAACAACCACGTGGAGCTCAGTCTGCTGACGGCCCCCGAGCTGCCGGAGGGTGGACGCCATCTTGGAAAGTTTGGGGCACACCTGGGGCAACCAGCTACAGACCCAGGGCAGCGTGATAGACCTAGGGCACGCTGAACAAGACATAGGGGAGCTTGAAGCATACCTGCCCGGGGCAGCACGCGTTGGACCTGGGTGGCTGGCATCAAGCAAGCCTAGGGCAGCAAACGATCGAGTCGGAAAGGCGTGCACGCAACCGAGAGACTCGAAATTGTCCGGAGAGGGAAGGTTACACGCAATGGGCTCAGCTGAGGGGCAGGGTTGCCCTAAAGACTGGACTGAACAGAGGGCCCGGGATTCTCATCTAGACGACCGTCGGCTCAGACGACGAAATGGTGCTTATCCGCCGAGCTATAACGTGAAGCTGGCATGCTTTTGTCCAACCTTGGTCACTTACGGACCCTGTATGTAATCGTAGCACAAAAAGCTAAGCGCAGGCACATGCAAACCATGCACCCAATGTCGTCTCTGAGCGGGTACGATTTCACGTCCCAAACCATACCAGAGTGAAAAATCAAGAAAAAGCTGACCGAACTGACACGCTAGCTGGACTTGGTGCCGTCAAGCAGCTGGCGCACACTCCGGCGTCTCGAATCGAACGCTTGTCCCATTTGCCTGTGGTCGTCACTGACGTCGTACCGTCCGCACGCACGGAGACCCGCACTTCATGGGGTTATTGGTGCTCCAGCGCCGGCACAGCGACTTCTTGCCGTATTTGTCCCACTCCGACGTTTAGCTCCCCTGGACGCGTTCACTGCTCTCCCACAACCACTGCACTGACGCATGGGGCCGCTCAAGCACCGCCACCTTCCCGCACTTTCACGAAGTTGATGTCGCTCGCTACGCCCGTCTCGCCGCCGACGTCGCCCTCGACACACTAAAACGCTGCTGCCTCCCTGTACTGTCACGGATTCAGCGTTGCTTGGAGCGACCACTCCTACCAACACCAGCACCAACACCCCGAGTCCGCACAGCCGCCGTTCGTCCCGGCGCGACGGTGGCGCCACCTCGCCCCCTCCGCAGTCTGGCCCCGCCCGCGCGCAGCTCTCTCGCCCACGGGCGGTGGCAGCCCCCACAGTGACGTCGGCGCACCCCGCCGCAGGCGTACGTGACGGCCACGGCCGCAGCCCGCCGCCCTGTGGCCTATTTTTAACGCGCCCCGCAGCCGCCGCCAGCGGCCGCGCGGGGGCTGTGGCGGCGCTGCCGTCGCCTGGCGCCTGACCCGGCTCTGGCGCGGGTCAGGTCTGCGGCGGCCTTAACCGGATGATGTGACTGCACGGGATCTGCCAGCCGCACGGGATCACAGACACCGGCAGGGCGATATCTGTGGTTTGGACTGCAGAGGCGCCTAGCCAGCAGCCCCAGGCTCGCAATCTTGCGTCAGCTCACCATCCATGCTGTCTTATGTCATCGCACCATAAAAACAAAGAAACAAACGGACAGCCGCACGGCCCATGGGCACATGGCGACGGAAACCGCGCGGTGCGCCCGTCCGCCGGCCGCGCGCAGTAACCATGACGACTCGCAAGCTGTGCCGACCGGCCACGCTGACCGGCGCCGGAGGTGGGGGGTGGAGGGGGAGGGGACGGATGTCACGACCTCGGCGCCGCGGGCCGCCGCGAAGCTCACGGTCGGCTGGCCCGGCGCACTGCAACGGCAGACACCGCAGGCGAGGCAACAATGAAGAGCTGCCCGAGCCCGGGGCGGGGATGTGAGGTGTCTGGGCCCGGGGCAGGGGTGTGACGTGTCTGAGCCCGGGGCGGGGATGTAACGTGTCTGGGCCCGGGGCGGGGATGTGAGGTGTCTGAGCCCGGGTCGGGGATGTGAGACGCCATGTCTGGGTCGGGAGTGTGAGGTGTCTGGGCGCATGGCGGGGATATGAAGTGTCTGGGCCCGGAGCGTGGATGTGGTGTCTGGGCCCGGGGCAGGAATGCGAGGTGCCTGGGCCCGGGGCAGGGATGTGACGTGTCTGGGTCCGGGGCAGGGATGTGAGGTGTCTGAGCCCGGGTCGGGGATGTGAGACCCCGTGTCTGGGTCGGGAGTGTGAGGTGTCTGGGTCCAGGACAGGGATGTGAGGTGTCTGAGCCTGGGGCGGGGATGTGAGGCGTCTGGGCCCGGGGCGGAAATGTAAGGTGTATGGCCCCGGGGCGGGGATGTGAGGTGTCTGGGCCCGGGGCGGGGATGTAAAACCCCGGGTCTGGGTCGGAAGCGTGAGGTGTCTGAACCCGGGGCGGGGATGTGAGGTGTCTGAGCCCCGGCAGTGATGTGAGGGTCTGGGCCCGGGGCGAAATGTAAGGTGTATGGCCCCGGGGCGGGGATGTGAGGTGTCTGGGCCCGGGGCGGGGATGCAAACCCCGGGTCTGGTCGGAAGCGTGAGGTGTCTGAACCCGGGGCGGGGATGTGAGGTGTCTGAGCCCGGGGCAGTGATGTGAGGTGTCTGGGCCCGGGTCAGGGATGTGAGGTGTCGGGGCCCAGGGCGGAGATATGGGGAACCTGGGCCCACGGAGGGGGTGTGGGTGTCGGGCCCAAGGCGAGGATGTGAACTATCTGGGCTCAGGGTGTGAGGATGTGAGCTCACTTGCCAGCCGGAGCCGTGCCCCGGCTCCGGGCAGAAGGGGTCCTTGTTACGGCGGCTGGAGCCAGTCAAGCGCTACAGGAGGTAGACAGTGCTCGGAGTATGCCCACTTAGATCGCGCCAGTATTTGAGGAGGTCCCCGAGGAGGTCAACGTAGAAGCTTATGCGCCGCCGAACTCGCCGACGCATTTTGATCGCAGATAAGCGATGAGGTAAGACCACGCTATCGTGATGTCCTTAGTGCCTTCAAAACCGCAGCTCACGCAGACCGGCAGATACTTCCCGGGACCGAGCGGCGGCCTACCGTCCTCGCCGGCCGCGGCGGGCGGTGGGAGGGGTCAAAGGGCCGAACCTTGGTTGGCCAGTGAGTCGAGCTCAGCACCGCATGCTGTGCATGCCCTGGATGACGACCTGGCGCAGAAGACCGGCCGAGGCGAAGCGGAAGAATGAGCACGTTTTTTTGGCAATGTCTAGTTTCAGACGGAAACTAATTATTCTCCCAGGTCAGGAATCAGAACGAATATTTTTCACAGCATATGTACACAATTGGGTGCGACCAACTTACCTTATGATTGAGATCATTGACATCATCTTCTATTGAGATGTCGGAATACATGTCTTCTCCATCACAGTTGGAGCTACGACCAGATGAATTAAAGCTAGGTGTTCGGAACACGGGGCTGAAACGGACAGAGACATCTAGTGAGCCCAACGTACACTTGTGTTGTGCTTTGCGACCTCGGCGGCGTGCACCTGGTGGCAGCGAACGTAAGCTACAGTGCTATTATTTCACCACCACACTGTCCACATGCCCAACTACGCACCTGAAACAACGCAGATCCGAGCGAAGTGAATCAGATACAGCCTGTTCGGTAATTGACCGGGCGACCTAGGTTTCTGAACGATACGACTGACGCCTGTCCCTGAACTTACACCGTCCGGTGACGTCATATAAATAATTTCCAACTCGAACACAGCTGACCCCTGCGCCGAAGTCGGCAAACAGCCGTCCGTCCACACTGTGATGTTGATACGTGAAGGCCCAACTTCGACGGGAACAGTAGGCGACCACATAACTAACGCACTGGCACAAGAAAAACATTAGCACGTTAGCGGGTAAATGCTCTCGTTTACCCGGATCAAAGCCCACTTCCCTTTGCGGTCACTGGTCTTTGCCCACAGCTCAGTTTGCTGTCGGGCCCGACCGAGCGCGGCGCTGTCTAGGGAAGGGTGCTTGAGTAAGACGTACTAGCCAGCATCGCCTGCATTATCTGTGCATACATCTTATATTACTCGACTGGCTCGACTTGAAAAAGTGCGTAGCCAACTATCTCATTTTTTCCTCTACAAACGCTCCCGTCTCGCAGCTCCCACTTGGTGCCACACCCCTGCAGCGGCCGTCTCACCGGGCGCGCGTTAGGGCCGTCCGTCAGGAGTGGACGCCTCGCGGTCGCCCTGGTTAGCGGTCCCGCCCGAGCATCCTCACATTCCTGACCTGCGCTTCCCTCCCTCGTCATTAGCATAGCTCTGGAATAGCTATCGATGGCTGAACGAATCTAACTTACTTCCTCTAGCTAACCTCACTAAAAACAACGAAACAAAAGCTTTCTTTTGCAACCCAATAGCCCTACAAAAAACCAAACGCTCGCGAAGTTTCGATGTTCGGGCCATCCTTGAAATGGAACACAAACTACGGATCACTTGTCGCCACACCCGTGGCTTGACACTCCGTACAGGGCGGAGGAAATCTCGCTGTTCACCACGTCACTGACGACTAATGTCACGACCCGTGGGACTTCGCCGAGCACGTCCGCCCGCCACCCACGTGAGCACAGCGCGTCCAGCCCACACCTGCAGCGTCTCCCTGCGGTCGGAGGCTCCCTGCAGCGAGACTCGCGGTGGCGGCAGCGGGGCGAAACAACACCCCCCGGGGATCGACCGGATCAGCGGCCGGCCACGACAGCTGACATTACACGCCGATCCGCTGGCTGTGTGACTGCTAACCCCGCGAGGAGATCCTGCAGTCGAGAGAACCGGGCGGGAACTCGGCGTCTCCGGCCCGGTCTCAGGCGGCGGCGGGCCTTATAGGGGACGGAGCGCTGGCGTCCAACCGCAGGTCCCTGGGCATTAGGCAGGTCCCACACCTGCGCAAATGTTTTCTCCGAATCACGGAATCGGAAAAGCGTCCGGAGTTCAACCGGAGAGAAGAATGCCCACATATTTCACTGCCACAACCACGCGGGACCGCCGCGCCTGAGGCCGTTCTGGACGGTCGTTCGGAGAGGCCGCTGCGCCGAAATCAGCACGCTCAACCAAGCGGTGTCCGTCACACATCACACCCACCGTGCACATCAACAGCATGTCGGCCTGTCATGGGGCGTCAACGTTGTTCCAATGACTGACACGAACAACATCCGGACCCGTGCACTAACCGCATACCTTTGTTAGGAAAGTCAACGCATCCGACATGGCAAGCATTTTTGCGAGGCGAGGAAAAGAACGCTCACGCGGCTCGGAGCCCGCTCGCTTGCTGCGAAGGCTAACGTGCAGATTCTCAGCTCGATACATTCTATACATTTCATGAATCAGGTGCCATTAACCATGGGTTTCCTGTGTGGTACACGTGATGCACTGTGAGGCGTGTGACTAATGTGAAACGTGTGACGCAGGTGACATGCGTCGAGCAGCGTGTGACCAATACGATGTGTACGCCCGGCAACATGTGTAACACATGTGGAGTGTGGACTAAGTAAGAAAAGCGTGTTGAGAACGTTGGTCCACGTCACGTGTCCCGCCCCCCCCCCCCCCCACACACAGACAGGCGCGACACACGCTGTTCACGCGACAGTGTGAGCCGTTTGGTCCGTGAAGCCAGACTCACCTGCTCAGGCCAGTGGGCGCCCCGGGCCGCTTGCTGGACCTGCAACACAGAGACCGATGTCAGCCCACGATCGGTTTGCTGAGATATGACATCAGAGGCCCGGGTCGGCTCTCCGATCGGCTTGCTGAGATATGACATCAGAGGCCCGGGTCGGCTCTGCAGGGCAGCGGGCGCCGCCCTCGCCACCGTCAAGGTAAATGCCTGCCTTCACCACGAATGACACGAGCGGTAAGCAAACACATTCCGGTCACAGCCTATTTCACCCAGTAAGGTGAAGAACTGGTGCTTAAAGGTCACCTCTCTCGCAGCCTGTCTGTTCCTCGGCGCATTTACGTGCACCAGGTTGCCGTCTCCGGGGCGAGGCAAGCGCAGGGGTTTGACCAGCGCTCCTCGACAGCGTGCCGCCACATCCTCAAGTGGGACACACCTGTGACGGTGCTCGGGAGGCGGGGGACAGCTTCTGGGGGCTGATCGATCCCGCAGCTTTGGGACATTCATCCCCTCCTTTCTGCGACGCAGCAATGGCGACACGAGAATGCAAACAAAAAAGCACAGCTCTTCCCAGTCTCGATGTTTCGTGGGAACGCAACCTTTCGCAGCGGCTTTTGTTCCTTTCCTACTGCCAAACTCCTACCAAACACGTTTGCCGGCGTCCAGTTCAAGACTTCCCCACCGCGCACGCCACCTACGCAGGCCGGTGCAGGCGAGCCGCGCCGCACAACCGGCAGTAACCATTTAGTGGTGTCCCGGTCGGCTGCACAGAGCCCGGGCCCAGTAAACCATGAAAGGATGGCCACGATCCCAGTCCCGCCTGTTAAAAAGACACACACTTTCATCCAGACCGCCTCACGCCGCGCAGCGTGCGACCATCAAGAGCCGCACTGAAATGTGAGCCAACCTGGACCGATCAGCAGTTGGGAAACGTCACAGCGACAGCGCACGCTCGCCTTCGCGCGGATCATCTGTAATAATGAAGAGGGAGGAGGGGGGGGGAGGGGGGGGGGGGGGCAAGAACGCCGTGCTGTGGAGCGCTGCGGCCCCGCGTACGTACGGCGCCGACTGCGGCGGACGTCACGCACTCCGCGCCGGCGGACCTGCGGAGTTCGGCACCAGCCCAGGCCCGCTGCCACCGACAGCACTCCCAGCTGGTGTTGACTGGGGGCGTAGGCGCTCAGTCCGACCCACCTCACGCCAACCGCCCGCATGAGCGGAGCCGGTACGGCGGGCGCGGCGCCGCCGTGTGCCGGCTGGGGCGGGGCTGCTGGGGCGTACCGCAGGACACCGAGGAGCGCCACCGCTCGAACGCCGTCCCACAGGAGGCCACTGCCCCGGGGCCGACCGTCGCCTTGCTCCCGACCGGACGGTCGGACCGGACGCCTGGCGGCCGGGAGACTCGCCACCGGACGTCGAGGACCACAGGAGATGGCCAGCGCACGTGGAAGGGGAGTGGGGAGGGGGGGGGGGGAAGGGGCGAGACCAGTCCGGCAGGTTGCGGCTTCGACTCAGCTCAAGGACGACAACTGAGGAGCGAACGCAGCTCTCCGATGTTTTCGTGCGGCTGCGCAATTAGTCGGTCAATGTAGCCGGATTTGCGACCCAGTTCAAAACATTGGAAAATGAATTGCTTTCGGCATCATATTTGTGTTCGCCAATTGACCATGCTTCGCATCTGTTTGATCCACAGAGAGAGCTGAACAAAAATCCCGAGTCAAATGTTAAAACTCCTCGTCTATACTGTTCAACCCGGTAAATATTCCCTCGTGCTGTTCTTTTCCAATGACACCTATATTTAACCGCACGCTCATCCAATAGCAGGCCCCAGCCAAACCGTCAGAAGCCTGTTTATGGTCGCCGACAGTGACCGTCATTACGCTCAAGGCGTCCCACCACAGCTCCACTTACGGCAGCCGGCTGCCGACGATAATGGCCGGCCTCGCGACAGCGGCCGCAGATTAGGCCCCGGCCGCCGCCGTGACGCCAGGCCTCGGCGACATCACGCTCTCTCATCACGCTCTCTCCTCTCCTCTCTCCTCTGCACTGCCGTCGCGGGCAGAGCGGCGGCGGTCCCGGCTATACCAGCTATCAACGTGCATCGATCACGATGAACGATTCGAGACGAGCTGGGCGCTGCAGTGGACGCGAGCACAAATCCGGGCAGGTCCACGGGGTGCCTGCAGGTCCTCTTCTCTGCATGCACCAGCCGCCGCCCCCCCCCCCGGCCCTCTTCTCTGCATGCATCAGCCGTCCCCCCCCCCCAGGTCCTCTTCTCTGCATGCACTAGCCGGGCTCCATCCACCTCCTGACCTCTGCATGCGCCAGCCCGACCCCCCAGGTCCTCTTCCCTGCATGCACCAGCCAGACCCCCTCCCCGAGGTCAGCTGAGATTACCAGCCAGAGTTCTTGGAAAAGAACACGGCACGCAGATCAAGTCAGAGCCGTCTCGCCGGCAACGCAGCTCAGCTCGGGGCAAAAGCCATTTTTAACCTGGTTTCTGTTCATGCAACGCCATTACCAGGGGTGATTTGATACGGGTAATTTTAAACCTCCGCTAACGGTGGGGAACGACGGCGCCCCGTGGGTCCCTGTACCGCTCCTGTACCGCCTGTACCCTGTACCTGTACCTTGCTCCTTGTGTGACAACCAGGCAGTGCAACCGAAACCAGACCGCCGCCGTCGACATAACCAACAAAACGGCTACTAGATGGCGGCACTGGCGAGCCCGCCGTGCCTGGCCAACCCGCGTCAGCACGGCCCTGCGGTCAGACTGGCGGCCAGATACGCCATTGTCCACGCCTGCTGGAAGCCCGGCCGCCACGGCTCATAGCGGCGGCGTACTCTCGGCTCTCTACAGACGGAGGGCCAAGCCGACTTTCCCAGCCAGCCACCTGTTGGTACCGTAGCGTGTCTCTGATCGGCGTGCAGTTTGATGGAGAGGAGTGTATTTCGCTGCGCTCCGCAGCCGGCAAGGGGCGTACGCATGTAGCAGCCCTCGTGGGCACGCCCGTTACCGATTTTACGGCATGTATTAATATGCACGTGATCAAATCTTGGCCGTTAACAAATAATATCGAGATCATGAGATGTTCTTTTGCAATATATTGCACGCTTTTACAGCGCGCTTAGCCTGGGTTTCATTAAAAAAGCTTTACCCCCTCCCCAATCCACCGTAAAATCCTGCGTGCGTCCATAGGGGCTGGCGAACCGGGAGGGGCAAACGACGCGATCACTTGACAGCAACGTCACGTTAATGATGATCTGGCCGTACCTTACAACGTGGTTACCTGCCATGATCGCAAAACATTCAGCCATTCGCTGGTCAGCGGCCTATGCTGGACCATTTCCCAGTAAGGAACACGTATGTTGTTTCAAGCGAAACAACATCTCCTCCCGCTGGACGCATTGCCAACAATCGTTCCTGCACGGGCCATCGTTCACAGTATTGTCTTCAGCTACGGCGCGACAGCGACATTGCAGACGCGGCAATTAGCGACAAGTGAAGCGACACGACACGCGTCAGGCGTTCCGCACCTATTGCGAAAGTCACATGCCTTAGCGAATAACAGCTGAGTCCGGCCAAGCGGATATCTCCATGCCACAAACAGCCGCTTTCGTACTGCCGCCGCCCCAGCCGTCCAACACGGAACCCGCCATACGTAGGACCTTGTCGCCGGCCACCACCCGTGTCAACGCACGGGAGGGGGGTCGATCAGCTGTCCGTCACGTGACCAGCGCTTGTCACGTGACATCAGTCCGATGACGCAACGTTTTTCGGCGGCGGTTCCCGTGAATGGTCTGAGATGAAAGTATCCGCAACGCAATCCGAGCGACTGTTCAGCCCGTGCCCACGGCCGGCCGTGAGGCAAGCGACTGCCGTCGACCGAACGTCCAAAGGCAACCACGGGCGTAAGTGTAGCGGGCCTCCTCTCCGGGCACGCATCGTTACCCGACCACACCGCTCATAGTTTTGAAGGCACGTTGTCCGTGACCTTGGAATGCACCCATCGATCGCTGAAAGTGACACAAACAAAAAGATCTCTAGAGTTTCCTAGGTATTTCCGATTTCGCGCTTGCCGCATGGGACGTGCCATAAAGGGCTGCCAAACCGCGATGACCTAAAGCTAGCACCAGAAGTAATGCCGCTAGAGTATCTAAGCCAAGTGTTGGAGAGTTATGGTACACGTACAAAATACAATGTGTTCTTACGTGCACACGCTGTTGGGTTTGTAAGAATAGGTCAGGGACAGAGAAGGTGGTTGGTCAAGAACAGTAAGAGTGCAAAGAGATTCGGAGGCATGAGGACAGGGGAGCATGATGTCATGGAGGTGGCGGGGGCCCGTGTGAGTCAGGAAGGCGTAAATGGTCAGGAGGGCGTGCATTTAAACAGGACACATGCAAAGACGGCACGATTTGGGCCACCGCAGCCCTGAAAACATCAGGACGGGAGGAGAAGGGTACAAAAGGACACGACAGGAACCACACAAACCCACTCCCATGGAATGGGAACGGCAGGCCGGGAGACCTGAGGGCAGGCTTGTCCACAACAGCGGCCGTGTTTCCAGCCGTGGCCAACTGCTGCCTTGCCGTCGGCTGTGACGTCACACCAGCGGCTGAGTTTCCAGCCGGGGCCAGTTACCGCCTCGCTATCGGCTGTGTGACGTCACCAGTCATCATCACACACATCGGGGAGCGTGAGGCCCTCCCCTGGCGCCCGCCCTGTATTGCTCCGCTTGCAGCGTGCCAATGTCGACAAAGCCGCGCAAGGCTGCAAACGCTTGCTCCCTGAGAGCAGCAGGCCTGCACGGTGCACGCCACGAGGGGGGGGAGGGGGGGGCTGCTGGTGAAGCCCTCGGACTGACCGCGCGCTCCGTCGTCACCCCAACACTCTTCCATCGACGCCTGAGACGGAGGGGCTCAAAACTGGACGTCGACATCCGATTTTGAGCCTCTGTCTCGGCGCCATCGCGGGAGATCTCTTTTACCCGATCCACCCGCTCGTCAAGGTGCTGTGTCCGAACTCACCCATTACCCACTGCTAATCA